CTTTAGCCAGAATTAAAATTAAATCTGAATTATTTTCGATCTACAAAAAAAAAGAGAAAAAATTGAATAAAATATTTTTCTCCAAAAGCAACTGTTTTGTCAACACAAGCTGAAAGTTTGTTGAATTATTCAAATCGGATGCTCCGATCTCTCAAAAACTCGATTTCTATTTTCTGCAGTCTTTGCTTCGAATCTCTGAAACGGCTTGACCTGCCTTTGCCAAAAACAAATCAGCACATCTCCTTATCAATAGGAATCGAATGTTTTTTGAACCATTCAAATCGGTTGATCCGTGCGCCCGAAAACGTGACCGAAATATTGTATCCATACATACATACACACACATCATTTTTTTTTTTGAGGTATGCCAGTAAAATTTTCGGAAAGCTTCAAAACGTCGAGAAATGCAAAACTTTTCATTTTCGATTTTCGGCCCATTACAATAACTTACCCTACGGGAAGTTAATAAATTAATAAACAAACAAATAATTAAATAAAATATAAATCGACGAATAAATCTAATGATTAAATTAACAAAAAATGAAATAAACAAGCGAGACGGCGAGACCTTGTTCAGCCGCATGATTAGCGATTATATCCAAAATCTTTAGGGACTGCCAGAGAATAAAGTATTGTCTGATTCTTACAAATGTCATCTGGCGACATCTAACAAGATTTTGGCGCAAACATATATTATTACAAATCTTACTGTAACTTTTATTATTTTTGCTATCTTGTTATATCTGAGTAAATCAAATGTAAATCATAAATAAATCAATTTATCTCCAGAACATTAACAATCGTCATTTCATTTCAAATTCAATTTCAAAAAAATAGTTGCCTCCAAAATTACACAAAATTGAAAAAGTGCTCTCGTATAGTCACAGTCTAAACGCACTTGCGAATAATTCTTTGCGACATTTTCACCTATAGTGTTCTTAGATGGCGGCTTTTTCACGTTTTTCAATAGTTTTCACAAAATTGGGAAAGTGCTTGGGAAAGTACATAAGCTGTCTAAACGCACTTGGGTAAACATTTGTACCAGAGGGGCGCTTAGACTGTGCTTAGCCTAGGTGATTTTTTGAATTTTTAATCCAAAATTACAAAAAATATTTTTCGAAAAAAAAATTAGAAACATATATAAATACAATATGGGGCTCAAGAATTGCGACTCCAAAAGGTAAACAACTAGCAGAGTTAATATATGAGAAAAACTGTACTATAATATCAACTGGGAGTCCCACCTACTGGCCAACAGACATACAGAAGATACCGTATCTGCTAGATTTTTTTATAACAAAAAATATTTCAAGCAATTATATTGATATAGAAAGTAATGAAGACTTATCTTCGGATCATACACCCATAATTCTGACCCAAGTACTAATGTAATAAAACAGAAGGTACAACGCAAACTATACAATCACAAAACGATTTGGGGGTGTTTTAGAAATGTAATTGATTCAAAAATCAACCTAAAAGTGAGAATTAAAAATGAAAACGATCTCTACGAAATAACGAAACAGTTTATAGGTACTCTTCAACAAGCTGCTAGGATTGCCACACCAGAACTAGCGCAACATAAACTGGAATTCAACGTACCAATGGAAATTAGGCAGCTTATGAAGGAAAAACGAAAGGCAAGAAATGTTTGGCAACGAAGACATAACCAACACGACAAAACAATATACAATAATTTGGCAAGAAAACTTAAACATGAATTAAAACAGTGGAAAGAAATTGGCATAATGAACTAAATTACTAATCTTAACAAGTATGATAACACGATTTAGACACCAATTAAAAAAACTAGAAGACCTATAACAACTAACTCGGCAATAAGATTAGATTCGGAAGGATCATGGGCTAGGAGTGATCAAAAAAGGCGAATATGTTTGCGGACTATCTAAGAAACGTATTTACTTCAAATGAAAATAGTCAACAACCGCGAGTATCTTATAAAATTAATGAGATAAAAGGCACTACTGAAAACATTAAACAGGTTACACCAAAAGAAATTAAGAGACAAATTTCACTTTTAAATAACAAGAAATGTCCAGGAATTGATCAATTGGATGCTAAAATTTTGAAAAAATTGCCAAGAAAAGGTCTAATAATGCTGACTTAAATATTCAATGGAGTGCAACGTTTGGGATATTGGCCAAAGGACCTAAAGAACTCTGAAGTAATAATGTTACAAAAACAAGGTAAACCTAGTCATATAGCTAATTCATACAGACCAATTAGTCTTCAACCGGTTATATCTAAACTATTAGAAAAAATATTGCTAGTAGAATCCAAGAAAATCTTACCGCGATACCAGATCATCAATTTGGTTTTAGACAATTTCACTCCAGTATGCAACAGGCTCATAGGATAACTTCAATCATTCACAAAGCTTTTGAAGACAGTGAGTATTGCTCTGCGGTATTCATCAACGTAAAACAAGCATTCGATAGAGTGTGGCATGATGGGTTGATAGCCAAAATTAAAAAATGCTTACCAAATCAATTATATAAAATACTGAAGTCATTCTTGACTGGTAGATACTTCAGGACAAGAGTAAGAGATGCAGTATCAGATTTTCACCCAATAAAATCGGGAGCATCACAGGGTAGTGTATTAGGACCAATGTTATACACAATATATGCACACGACTTACCAACACATAACAACACAATCACGGGTACAATGATCGTGGCAACACATCAAGATTCAGTAATCGCATCTCTAAACTTACAAGAACATCTATTCGCACTTGAAGAATGGCTCGAAGAATGGAAATAAGTATAAATAAAGACAAATCATAACATATCACGTTTACAACGAGAACTCAAAACTGTGAGGCCGTATATATAAATAACATTAAAATTCCTCCTAGTACCAGCATTAATTATTTAGGACTACATCTAGACCGTAGACTCACATGGGGTTTCCATATCAAACAAAAAAGCAAACAAACGATGAAAAAATTCAAACAACTGTACTGGCTAATTGGCAGAAAATCGAAAATGTCATACGCAAACAAGACTTTAATATACAAAACCGTACTAGTGCCAATATGGAGCTACGAAATAGAATTATGGGGATGTGCAAGTGCATCAAACATAAAAATTATACAGCGTACCCAGAACATAATATTAAGGGCAATGGTAGATGCGCCTTGGTGCGTAACTAATGAGACCATCCTCAGGGACCTGGAAATTAAAACTGTGAATGAAATTATAAAGACCCGGTGCTGTTCTTACCTTATTTTTAGCTATATGACTAGGTTTACCTTGTTTTTGTAACATTATTACTTCAGAGTTCTTTAGGTCCTTTGTCCAATATCTCAAACGTTGCACTCCATTGAATATATAAGTCAGCATTATTAGACCTTTTCTTGGCAATTTTTTCAAAATTTTAGCATCCAATTGATCAATTCCTGGACATTTCTTGTTATTTAAAAATGAAATTTGTCTCTTAATTTCTTTTGGTGTAACCTGTTTAATGTTTTCAGTAGTGCCTTTTATCTCATTAATTTTCTCAGATACTCGCGGTTGTTGACAATTTTCATTTGGAGTAAATACGTTTCTTAGATAGTCCGCAAACATATTCGCCTTTTTTGATCACTCCTAGCCCATGATCCTTCAAATGATCATTCAAATGCTAAAATACAAATCATCAACAAAATGGTTCAAACAAGAACCCTCAAGAAGAAATGGCCAAAGAACCTGCAATATTAAATTATATACAGACAGCTATAGATTAATTCTAGAAGAGGATCTCTTCAATGGAGGAGACCTCCAACGCCAAATATAATTTATCACATAGGCTTATAGAAACTTTGTCTTCTGATGGTCTATTAAATAATAAATAAAAAAATGCATTGTTTATGAATCCTTCTTATGCTATCTCCCTCAATAAAATTTTGAAAGTGTCATGCATTCCTTGGGTGTCAAAAGCACTCCTGCGCCTTGTTCGTACATTTTTCAGCAATTTGTAAGTACCCCCAAGTCACCTATTCAATATAATAACATGTTGTAATGTCATATTTGATTATATATAATTATAACTGCAATTATTATGAAAAAAATACCTTTGCGGGAACTGATATTGGTATTTTATAGTACCGAAAAAAATGTCAACCCGCACTTGACACTTTTTTTGGTACTATAAAACCACTTTACCATATTAAATTTCACTTAAATGTTCACTTAAACACAATCAATTAATTAGAAACAACACGAGTTCACAAACTTAGGTTATTCGTACAGCGATTAAATACTTGACAGCCACTTGCACGAACCACGAACAATTTGTAGTTGGAATTGAGTACACATGAGCTATCTGTTTTTAAAAATTGACACTACACTGCAAATGTTGTTGTGTTAATCAAAACACAAAAACGTATTAAAAACCATAGAAAAGCGCGACATCATACACATAAGAGAGTGGTATTGCATAAAGGATGTTGTTTTATACGGCGATCGTTTAAATTATCGCTCCTTTTTGTCGTGTAATAATAATGCTCGACATCAGGCGTGTAGAGATATATCCATAGATAAACAAGTATAATAGATCGCTATGTCTGGCGATTTGACGTTACCTCGATTGAAATACAAATTTTTAAAAATAGATGGCAGCACATGCACAATATTTAAATTAACCCCTGATATCACTTCTAAATTTTGTACGTATCGTATACAGCCCAAAAAATCTGAATAATTTTTAATATTGGAAATAAGAACAAATCATACGAAATACAAAATATATTTTCAAATATATTACAAATGTTTAAAAAACAATTAAAATTATGTTTATATTAACAATTATAATTACAGTTATGGAATGTTTGAAAATATAATAATTATTATACATACTTATAAGTATTATAATTCCACAATTATGCTTAAATAATATTTCAAAAACTAAAGATCTATGTGGAGAAAACCACAGAAGTATTTACCTAAACTAAGCAGAAATAACTGACTAATATTAATTACTTAGGGTGCGTTCCACTAAGCGCTCACAACGATCACGCTCACGACCGCGGTTTATATCATTCCACTTGCTTCTGATCGTTGGTATCATCAACTCAAGTGGAATGGATTATGAAGCGTTTTGAGCGTTCATATAAACATTACAAATGGCGTGGTTTGAAAAATGAAAGGAATGAAAGTCAAAGCTTGAAGAGGTTAGGTTACAATCAGGTTAGCCTTGACAAATAATTCTTATAATAATAAGCTAACTTGATTTAAATAAAAATAAATAAAATATACATTTTAATTTTTGGGTTTCATTTCAGTGAAGTCTTTAACCAATTTAAGTTCAAATCTAATCGAAATGTCTTTTACGGCAGTTGGATATTTGTTGATGCATCGTAATAATGCTCCAGAAACAAGTTCATCTAGTTCAGATGAAGAGTGGAATGCAACTCTACAAAATTATAATCGTGAAAAGCGAAAACTAAGACCACGTATTATTGATTATGAAAATATAATTATCCGTTATTCAGATGAAGAATTTAAAAGTCATTTCAGGTAACAAAGTTTTTGTAACGCATTACATTGTATATTTTGAAATTTTTATATCTATTTTTACACTTAAATTATATTCGAAATGTATACTGTCCTTAAACTAACTTTATTTTATGTAAGCAATGATGATTAGATTAAAAATGGATTAGAAATGATGAATCACATTCAGAAATTTAATATATAAATGGACTTATATAGTTCTCAATTATTTGTTTTAGACTTTCAAGGAATACATTCTACTATTTACATGATTTAATAAAAGAAGATTTAGTTCGAAATGTTCCAGGATGCCCTACAATTCCTTCTCGTCATCAATTAATGATAGCTCTTTGGAAAATGGCAACACAGGATTCTTATAGGTTACATTTTTTTTAAGAAACAATTTTAGAGTGATGCACATGTAGCATATTTCAAAAATATTAAACTAAATTAAAAGTTATTTCTTTTACTTTGGTTACAGATCAGTTTGTGACCGATTTAACGTAGGACGAGCTACTGCTGTAAGAGCTGTACGTCGAGTTTGTCACGCTGTATTTATAAGAGCCTCAAGATTTATACAGTGGCCTACAGAAGATCGTGCTATTGATGTGATGCGTGGATTTGAAAGAGCAAGTGGTTTTCCTAAAACAATAGGAGCTATTGACGGGACTCACATTCGTATAAATGCTCCAAAACAAAATCCTGTCGATTATATCAATCGCAAAGGATTTCATTCTATACAGCTACAGGTATTTAACAATAATTGTTTTAAGTATACTACTGATTTTGATAATAAATCTTGATTTTAATTTAATGCAAACTTTTCTGCAGCTCGTATGTGATCACAAGACTATAATAACTCATTGTTATGTCGGACATCCTGGATCTGTTCACGATCAGAGAGTTTTTCGCTTGTCAGAAGTTGCAGATTATATAAATGATGATGATAAATTTCCCGAAAACAGTCATATTCTAGGCGATGCTGCGTATGAAATACATCAGCATCTACTTACTCCTTATCGTGACAATGGACATTTAAGTGAAAAACAAAGAAAATATAATTATCATCATTCATCGGCGCGAGTGACTGTTGAAAGATGCATCGGATTATTAAAAGGACGAATGAGGAGTTTATTGCATTGTCTACCAATGACAAGGGTAGATTTAATGGCGGAATACATTGTTGCATGCTGCATAATTCATAATATCTGCATTTTACGAGAAGATGATTTACTTGTGATCACTATACCTGAAAATAATCAAGAAAATAATGGAAATTATCCGCGTGAAGTAAGGCGAACTGCAGGAGTTATTAAAAGAGATTTTATAATGAATTCCTTGTAAAACTAATAATGATTCATGGCCACTCTGATGAGTGGTTATTAAGATAGCCTTGCAGGACCATAAATTATAGAAATCACGTAAGGACTTCATCTTCGAAAATTTGAATGAAATCAATAATTCTATATATATTTGAAAATTGTATATATTATTAAAATGTCATATAATAATTTTGAGAACTTCAATAAATTTCTTTTTTAATTAAACTAAATTTAATAATATATAATATAATTTATTTTTTTTAATCATAGTTATATCTCAAATATAAAAGTTACATAAAAGTAATTGCACGACTTATAATGCGAAACATTAGAAAGTGCTTTACAAACGAATAATTATTAAAATTATTCTTATACTTAAAAACCTATTTCTTTATTTAATATTGCTTTTTTTATAGTTATTTTTCAGCTAGTTTTTCTAAAACTTTGAGGAATTTTTCATCCATTTCCATTCTCTCTCGGTGTCTTTTCTTTCTATTTTCCTCATGTTCTTCTTTCTGTTTTAATCTTTTTCCCAATAAAGTTGTTACTGATGGCTTATTCGATTCTGAAAAATAATTCGATTTGTACATGAATATATTCATGAATTCAATTATCTGATATAATTACTCACTTGATGAACATCCGCTATCAGATCCCACCGCACTATCGTTACTTTCTGTTTTTTTGGAAGAAAGACCAGTAGAAGATGCAACGGCAACTGGATCGCACCATGCCTTTTTGCCAAATATTTCATCCATTATCTACAAAAATTACAAGATATATTACAATAGTTATAACTAGTATAGTACAATAATTAGAAACTAATTTATTTATAATTATAGAAAAATTAACTGTATCGAAAAATTAAGCAGAATATTGAGAAATTTGTACAAACTTCGTAAAACTTCCAAGTCTTTCGATCATTTCCCGATTTGTTATTATGATCCTTAGTTGACTTATAGGTTTTCTTCAGACTTCGCAGTTTAGAATAGCATTGCGGTCCGGTGACATTATGACCATTTTTTGTCAACTTCTCGGATATTTTTTTCCAGACTTGTTTATGGGACATTTTCCCACTATTGAGTATTTGTTCCATGGATCTGTAAGTCTCTAATAAGAGTAATACAGCGGGTGAAGACCACCTGTATGAAGAAGCTCCACCTGCATATAGAAAAAAATGTAATTTATTAATAAGAAACACAAAAACCACATATGTAACTGACATCCTCATATAATAAATGTTAAGAATAGGATGATAACAGAATTTATATTTTTAATATACCTTCAGATTCTTGAGTTTCAGAGTTAAGTTCACCTGCGTCTTCACTACCAAGTACTTCTTCGTCATTGCTTTCAAGAAATTCTTCATTGTAGAATTCAGCATCCTCATGTTCTACATGAGAAGTAGATGTAGATGCCTTATGAGGATCTTGATTTACTAAAGTTCTTAAAAGTTCTGTAGCAAAATATTGGTCTACAAACAAAATAAATTTTTCATAGAAGGAATAATTTTTCAATTAATATGGGCATTAATTATATATGAGGTTAGGTCATCATTGTTAAATGAGAGAAATGTATAATGGCTGTTGAATATAGACTAAAATTAATTTTATTACATAAATTTAGTGTAATTATATTTACCTGCCCTCGCACGTTTAGCTTCAGCCGGAGAAACATTCGCTTCCACAGCAATATCTCGATCAGCATCGTATAAGATAATTTTTTCCGTCGCCATCTTCGAGTTCAAAATATCATATTTCAAAAACAATTTCAAATATTGCGCCTAAATTTTCTCAACAACGTCCACTTCGACCCACCTTTTTAGATGGGTCGTTGTGAGCTTGACGTGAGCGAAAGTTATGACGTCAGTAGTGACGTTTTCGCCGCGATCACAGCGACCGCGGTCGTCATGTGGAACGGCTTAATGGGTATTTTGAGCGTTGTGAGCGCTTAGTGGAACGCACCCTTAATGACTAATATTAATATATTAAAATCTTAAAAATTAAGTAGAAACTACAAGCACAGGAGCACACGATGAAATTACTAATTTAGAAGGAATGACAAATAATACAAAAATTTAAAAGGTTAAAAAAAACAAATAATTTGTTAAAAAGTACAAATACTTCACAAACAAAAAAGTCCTAGAAACATAATATATATATATATATATATATATATATATATATATATATATATATATAAAGCACACAATGCTAGCCTACCATTAACATTAAATATAGGAGGGCAATATGTGCTCCTCCTATTTCTCGTTTTGTTAATTAATAGTATTTTATTATTTTACACAAATTTAGTGTCAATAAATTTTACATCAAATAAAAATTAATGTTTCCTGTTTTTCCTGGTTTGTTTACTGAATGATGACACACATCAAGTGTCGAAACGTTTAATGGAATAAATAATTTTGTTATTTAATCTTTTTTTAATTCGACGGTTGGGCTGCAAAAATATTACAAATATATATATATATATATATATATATATATATATATATATATATATATTGTAGTCAACTACAGCCTCGGGCTCGGTCAAATAAACTACGTTCTCTGTGCAAAATATATTATATATTTCACAAATATTTTACTATGCTCTGTTCAACAAAATAATAATAAAAAAAACAAGTTAGTGTATATATAATAGTGCAAAATTATGTGCCTTGTGCTAGCTACTGATGTAAGACCATATTTATATCCACTGATGATGACATAAAATACTATGTCGAAACGTTTGGAAAAATTAAAGATTAACTTCTGAATCTTTGCCTTTTATTTGATGTATGCCCTTGAAGAACTTACTCATATTTCTCAACATCAAAACTAACTTCTCTAACATATATATATATATATATATATATATATATATATATATATATATATATATATATGTTGAAATGATATGGGGTGTTGATTGAATTGGGTTGGATTCAAAATGTTGGTTGATTGAATTGGGTTGGGTCCCCACTCTCCAATGGGGTGCTAAATCCGTCCAACCTTTTCCTGGTGCCGTGGGCAGAGCTTATAGTTATAATATAAAACAACAACACTGGTAGGAATCTCCTCGGAACCGTGAGCACTTTATACTGGTATAGGCTGAAAGAGTCTCTACGCAAAGTCTAATACAAACACTGAATTTAATTTGACTGTCACTTTATTTAATCTTTAATAAACTTTCAAATAATAAACTGACATAAATTCGTGTTAAGACATACTCTAAATTACAATACGAAATCTTACTCTATTTATTGCAAAGAGAACATGAGAATATCCCGGAAGTGGCGCGTTCTGGAAAACTTCTCTGCCCTTGCATTGCTCATGGGGAGTTATCTCCGAACAAACGTATATTACCCTGTTTTGAAAAGGACTACTATTTTTAGCGAAAAAAAGATGTCGCTACTAGTTTCAAAAAACGTCAAAATTACTCGCTTAGATTTTCTCGCCATCGCCATTTTGTATCAAAGTTTGTGGTTCGATGTTGTTGTTTCTGTAATTAATTGTATTAAAGTAAGCATTTATGTGAAATTTAATATGGAAAAATGTAACGCACCAACTTGTGGTAACTTCAGAAATAATATAAAAATGCACTTTTTTTCCGGCTTTGTGAAGTGAACAAATTAGAAATGTCCAATTATATTTCACAGAATAGTTCTCATGTCTATAGTTCACAGTGATATAAGAAGAGAAAGACAATCTGATATATGCCTAGGAAAACACTCTGCAACTCCAGTGGAAAGGGTAATAATAATTCTGAATATTTTAATACCATTTGCTATTACGACTTGATATTATATTACAACATATTATATTTATTAGATGTTCACAAATTGCAGCAGAATGTAGTGACTAAAATGGCATGTAAAATGTATGACGCATCCATTATATGTTGAGGGAGTTAAGAAGGATAAACAAACAATGCAATAATTTAAGCCTTAAATTTTAAGGTATAAATTGCAACAGAGTATAAAATGCTCAGAAGTATTTTTAACATTCCAGCCGAAAGGACTGCTGCACTGTTCTATTCACACAATCGAATCATAAGAAATTCAAGATTTTGTAGAATGCAACTTTATTAATGATTGATTGGAAAGCAAAATAACTATCAAATGCAAAGTTAATGTTAAAGAAGAATTACTCATAAATGAATTTTAATTCTTGGAATTTAGTTTTCTATAAATTTTGATATCAATATATATATTTTATGTCTGTAGGATTTAACTTTTTAAATTTGTTCATTATTTGTCATTTCTTCTAATTATACTATTCCATTATCTATAGTATATATCGTATATACTCTATATACTACATACTTAGATTCTATACTTTTCTCTTTTTGATATATTGCTATTAGTCATTAAGAAATTAATATTAGTCAGTTCGTGTAAATTAATTATACACCTAAGTCTGTTTTTACACGGTAGATTGGTTCCAGAAGAAGTCGTGTAAAAAAAAACGTGTAAAAAAAGACATTGATCTTATACAAAAATGGGTGATTTTGTTCCTAATCTCTAAAAGCTATTAAAATTAGTGAAGAACAAGAATTTTTAAGAACAAGAATTCATGTTTATTTTATTAAATCAAATATATAATGCTTATTTTCACAAGCATAGTAATTATTGATAAAAAAGATATGCACTTTAATCTTAAAAGTAATATAAATTAAATGTATGGCAATTTCAGGAACTAAAAAACCATGTTGTGAACGAAAAGAATAGGTCATTCAATTTTTAAGGTAAAAAATAAAATAAAACTTCGTAAAAATACTTTTTTGTGATATGAACATACTTCGCGAAAATTAAATTTAAGTACATAAAATTTCAAATCGTGCTAAATGGAATAAAATCGTGTAAAAAAATTTAAAACATTCAATTTTCAAACCGTGTACAAAAAGACCGTGTAAAAACAGACTTAAGTGTACTTATGAAAATTTTTACAATATTTCTGTGTAGTTGTTATATATTCTGATCATTCAGTAATTTATCTTGATCGTTCCTTTTAAGCTTAACATTTTATTGTAAATGCTTCTACGCAATCTCTGTTTAGTTGGTAAATATTATTGATCATTAAGTAATTCATATTGATCGTTCCTTGTAAATTTATCATACCATTGTGAATACTTTTTTTAGTTACTTATAATTGTAAAATTATAATATTTATTATTGTGTATATATTGATTATTACATTTATAAAAATTTTAATTGTTATGTAAAAATGTTTGTGATATATTTGAAAATATATTTTGTACTTCATATATTTTTTTTCTCATTTCCAATATAAGAAATTATTTAGGTTTTCTTATTTTGAATTACGTATGCGAACCATATCTAGGAATAATACCAGCGGTTGATTTATATACTGAACAAGTGCTGCCTCCTTTAGATCGCTAAAAATATTAAAATGGAGGTAATGTCAAATGGCCTCAGATAGCGATCTATTTATGTTTACTTATCTATGGCATTGCTCTTGGACTTTGAATGTGTGGCATAGAGCACGTATAATTCATGTTATTACATAACACGCCACCCCTAAAAGATATTCTTGGTCCTCCAAGAATAATAAAAAAAAATAAAAAAAAATTAAAAAATACAAAATTTTTGATGTTCTTCCCCTCTTAAAAAAAATTTATCGTCCTCGATAAATAATAAAAAAAAATATCATAATACAGTAGCAAAATATAATAATAATGACATATTTTTTATTTTTCTATTAATATATCAAACTTAACAAAATAATATTGATAATACAGTTTGCCATTGTCTTCTTACTGATATAATTTGAAACAATTTAAAATTCTATAATAGCAATGGCTTTAATTAAACTTAATTTATTAATCTAATATTGCTATTTCTGATAAATAATTGCTTTGAGGTGATGGAAAGGAAATTAAGACAATAGTAAGACATTTCTTATGCTAATAATTATAATTCTAATGAAATACAATAATAAGGTTTTACTTAAGCTAATTTTATCAAGTAGAATCACTTGTATAATGCCATTTATAAAATTTGATATTGATAATAATATTGGAAACTATTGTACAAAAAAATAAGAAAAAATAATAAGATTTTGTAACATTTGTAGTGTGTACATTATACATCTAATTTTGCTATAACATTTTGCTGCACATGTGATTTTCAAAGTTCAATAACATTATTTTGTAAGTGTGATATACAATAGCATAATTATTCAGATATTTA